TTTCGGGGCTTGAATGATGGACTGGAAGTTCCCGTTCCTCTCGCGGATCGCCATCGCGCGCCCCGTTGCCTCGCGCCCGAGGCAACTGCAGGATCGCCCGCCCTTGCCTCGATCTAAATGCACGCGGCCCCTTGCCCCCGCGATTTCGCGCGCAGGCCAGAGTACCTGTTTAGCGCCAGCAACCTGGATAGACCCGTCTCGTTTCTCCCGCAATAGCTCGATGCCCATGGTTCCTAATATCTAACCCGCTGGCTGCGCTGTAGCACTCGCAGCTCCACGAGGCATCCGCGGGGGAGTGGGCCGCCACTTTCGAGGGCCCAGCCGCGCCGCGGGCCCCAGACGTCTCCACCCCGCTTTCCCAGCACCTCACCGGCGTTGCGTTTGCGTCTTTGCCGGGGCCCCCCATCTCCACCAACTGCAGCTCGGCGAAATTTTGCGCCGAAAATTTCCCCGGAGTAACGCGCTCCGAAATTTGGTCATTGAATTTGGGCGCCGCGGTCGCAGTTGGCGCCGCGCCCAGGCAGCGCGCGCTTCCACTTAATCCCTGACCTGGCCTTCCGTTGCCTCCTCTTCGTCGCGAGGCGCTGCGCCCCCCACCCCTGGGCCCTTTGAACTGGCTCTGTTGCTACGCCGTTGCTGGCAACTCCGCCGTCGCAAGTGGCTTCGCACATTTCGACGCTGTAGCACCCTGCTCCAGGCATTGGCTGCCCAAATACCTGCGCGGGCTCTCCTGCGCCCCCTGCCCCCCCTTGACCTGGGGTGACTTCGCTAGCGTTCTTGGGGCAGCGCGCTGCAACGTGACCCTTCTCTCCGCGTGGGCACCGCTCCCTCTCGCGCGTCGGCGCGCGTCCTCCATTGCCTTCTCCTTTTCCATCCTGGGGGTCGGTTCCCCTGGTAACTTCCTTTGACGCAACCCAGTGGGTAGCCCTCGGTGCCCTGGTGCCCTCAATTGCATCCTCCTACCTGCGCTCCTTGGTGACCCTTGGCACCGTTGTCTCCCCCTCTTCAATCTCCTTGTCCTCTGGCGGTTCCTTCCGCGGCGCGGTCTCTGGCGACGCGCCCGTGCTCTCCGCGTTTGCGACACAAGGGCCCTTTTTTCCTTGCACGTTCCTTCGCTCACTTCTGCTTTGTCGCCGTTCCCACTCATGTCTTCTCCACCGCAAGTCCACGCCTTGCCGCATTTGTCCTTGTAGCCGGACTCTTTCACGCTCGCGCCGCACTCCCCAATATTTTCGTCATCAACTTGGCCTATGTCTCTAAAGTCGTCGATCTTCGCGCCGGCTCAAACCTCACACTGGATGAAGAGTTTCTGGCAGGTGGCAGTATTCAACGATTCTGGCGTCTTGGAGCAGCCCTGCTGCCAGTCGTCAAACCAATCGCCTGCGTGGGCCATGATGATTATCAGGGCGGCGACCCTGGACGACAAAGGCACCGAGCATGCACTCCCGTACTTCCCAAGGAACTCTACCAACGCGCTCCACTGTACCAGCTGCGTCGCCACGTCGGGAACCGTCTTAGGACTTTATGGGTTCATGGCCAAGTCCATTTAGCATGTGCGAAAGTGAGACTCCTGTAACGGCGAGGCCATGCATACATCTGCTGGTACGCGATTAAGCCAACTCCCACGCGTATGTCTTGAGATGTTCCCGTGGCTCCGTTCCTTTCAATATGTCACTCGACACGTGACAAAAACCCTCGTCCATCTTCGCGTAATCGTCATCGTCACGCTCGTACTTTCCTTTAGCGTCGTTTTCTTGTCTCTTGGTGTTTGACGCTTTGATGTATTCGTTCAAGGTTAACCTCCCGCTCGAAACTTCTATCAGCCCGTCCTCTTCGTCATCGGGTAGCGCCCCATCCACGGTCTCGAGCTTGTCGTTCACATGTTTGGGGGCGTTCCACGAACCGTGCTTCACTTGGGGGAGTGCGTCCAGCAACTCCCCACCCACTCCCTGCAGTTGGTCCGGTCACCCGAAAAAATCTTTAACTGTTGGACGGCCTTTTACTTGCTGACGGGTTTGTTTCCACCTCCTCTGGCCCTAGTGCTTCCAGCGGACTTTATCGCCTCGGCGATATTGGTCACATGCTCAGAAGCCTTGTTTGACGTTGGAGTTCTGTCCGAACGTCCTTTTTTACGGCTGTGGAACTGCCCCTCGCAAAAATGGTTGCGGCTGGTGCACGAGACATGAAGGGCATTAATTCTGCAGCTCGCCAATAGCATCGTGAACGCCTCATCTTCATCAACCGTCCTGGTGCCCATTGTGGCGCTGCGCTCGAATTCGGTTCGTGCTCAGATTGTACCAGCTCCCTCGGACCTCGGGTAACGTCACATCAAAACCCTGGTCAGCTGTACCCGGATTTGGCGTGGCCGTTGCGGCCGCCGCCGCGGCCATCGCAGGGAAGCGAGTGTTTCGCGGACGCAACCGCGCGCTCCTGGAACACGTGGGGCGCACCACGTGCTCCGCAACCATGGGAGACTTTGTCCCTAGAGGTATTTGACCCGAATACGGTATTTGAGCCAAATGCCATAATCGGACAAACACGCAAAACGGTTCGAAACGCATCGCGCAAACTAATATCCTTACCCGGTCGCGCGGCCATGTTCTAACATGTCCTCTTCTTTTTCCTTCTCCCCCTCCTCCTCCTCCTCCTCTTCCTCCTGTTCCTCCTCCTCCTCTTTCTCCCCCTCCTCATCATCCTCCTCTTCCTCCTGTTCCTCCTCCTCCTCCTCTTCCTCCCCCTCCTCCTCCTCCTCCTCCTCCTCCTGACGGACCCACGGCATGCCAACATGCCACATTTACAGGCCCGTTTCTCGACGAGGGGCCCGCCGTGTTTCCCGTTCCGCGGGCTCCAAGATGCGATGCTACAGTGCGGGCCTGACCACAAGAAGCCTTCCACAAGAAACCCAACCTTGAGACCCCATGGCAAGCAGGGTGTTTCTTGGCATGGGTCTCCACTGTACCACCCTCCCTCATACACAACGAGGTTGGGTGGAACCAAATAATGGCTCATCCCTGATCAGAGACGTAGCTGGGGCTTGGCTTGACGGGCCCTGGCAAGACCTCTCGAGGCTCGCGCCTGCTCGCGCAGCACCGCTCGCCGGGCCTGGCACCAGCCCCCCCCCCAGCGGAGGGCGGATCCCGAGAGGCAGAGCTGCCTGCTCGGGCGACCCTGGCCTTTGGGCCATGGCTCAGCTTTCCGGCGGCCGTTCGGGACGATCAGGGCACCCCAGGAACGCTCTCGGCGAGGCGCAGCCGCTGGAAGGCGGCCCGGGGCTGGAAAGCCGCCGAGAACCGACAAACACGTCCGAAACTTCGAATCTCGAGCCCACAGTGCAGGCCAGTCCACAAGAAGCCTTCCACAAGAAACCCAACCCTGAGACCCTAGGATTAACTCGGGCGTGTCCCCTACAGGGGGATTTTGGGCCCAAAAAAAAACTTTACAACATGCCCGCCAAATGATCACAAATACTTCAAAAATCGTCCCGAGGCTAACCTCATGCCCGTGAGAATAAACACTAGGGGATGATAAAGTTCGGGGTTCAGGGAGAGATAATAAAAGTAGCCCAGCAGACCTCAGCATAATCTCGAAGTAAGAGATGATCAAGAGGAGACCAAGCCGAGCACGTTTTGAGACATCCTTGGCGTTTAGTTTTCATAGAAATATCCTCAACAATGGCTTATCTCTCATGAAAATTGTTTTTTTGTAAGTGCTCGTGTAGGGTAGCTCATGTGCCTCAATTTCCATGGATAATCAACCCCAGAGATAAAAAAGTTCAGGCGAGCGTGGGGACAGAGAGAAATATAAAAGAAGAAGAATACAGTAGAAGAATAATAAGAAAGAAGAAGAAGAGGAGAATAAGAAGAGGACGAAGAAAGGAAAAATCCAAAGTTCCAAATCTATCAATTTTAATGTACAAACGCTTTATGAAAATTGATGTTTTCAGTGCTCGTGTAGGGTAGTTCATGTGCTTCATTTTCCATGGATAATCAACCCCAGGGATAAAAAAGTTCAGGCGAGCGTGAGGACAGATAGAAATATAAAAGAAGAAGAGGAAAGTAGAAGAATAATAAGAACATTGCTCGTTTCGTTTGAGTCTGCCTCCCAAAATTATTGGTTTCGCTTGACACATCCTGAAAAAGTGTGATCGCTTCGCTTGATGTTGCTATATCAACATCGCTTGATGTTGCTATCTCAACATAGCGTTTCGAGGTGATAATGAAGTTCGGCCTCAGCGCTCGCCGCCCAATTTGAATTTTGTATAGGGCGACGATAATCAACTCTAAACACTGAAGGGGGGGGTCCCTTTATTATCATCGGCATGCGGTTATTTTTTACTATTGTTGAATATTCTCCCTGTAGAGGGACAGGCCCGACTTCACCCTAGGACGTCCATCGATTTTTTGTGTGAGAGCGGTGCGCTCTCCGCCGCGGAACCGTCGAAACTCTAACAACCCAGGGCACCCTGGAGGCAAGCAGAGTGTGTCTTGGCATGGGCCTCCACTGTACGGCAGGTTCGCGTCGTGACGACCCCGGCGTTGGTTTCTGACACCACGCGGATCGTTCAACCTTGAACGATCGGCGGCTTTTCCATCGCTCGATCGTTCCATGTAGGCCGACTCTGGGCCATTGGCGGCGTTAAACCTTGAACGTCCGCGGCGGGGTCGCCGCTGGTCGACACGACACGAACCTACCGTATCCCCGAACGTGCGCAGAGCAGGCCCAGAAAGCAGGCCTGGGTGGGCGCGGCCTCCCCCCTCGGCAGACGCGTGCCGAGGCCTCCTGCCTCGACTCGGCCCGCCGATGCTCGATCCTCGAGGGCATCTCCGATCCTCGCTCCTCGATCCTCTTCGATCCTCGATCCTCTTCGATCCTCGATCCTCTTCGATCCTCGATCCTCTTCGATCCTCGATCCTCTTCCATCCTTGAGCCTCTTCGATCCTCGATCTTCGGTCCTCTTCGATCGACACCTCGATCTTCGACAGGCCCCTCGAATGGGCGGCCTGTGAAGCCCGGCAGCCAGAAGCCCGCCGGAGTCTCGTCGTCGTCCAGCAGCAGATGGTGCGGGAGCGGCTCGACGGCCAGGTTGTGCTCGAAGAGGGCGTAGTGTTCCTGTCGGGGGGCGTAAATGGTGGGGCAGGGGTAGAGATAGGATTGACAGGGAAATCGCTCTAAACGGCTCCTGGAAGAACATGTGAGCATCCAGCTGGGCTCGTTCCCGAAACCGCCCTGGGATAACCCTCCTCTGCGAAGCCCCGATCCGCTGGGGTCCCGAAACTGTTCGGTGACAGACCGTGGGGTGACTCGCAGTCCCCCAAGACCTCACCGCACGGTCCGCCAACGCACGGTTCCGTGACCTCGGATGCCCCAGCCGTCCGAGACGTCCTCGGAGAACGACCCGAGTCCCAAAACCGTGCGGTGACCCCGAATCCCCACCGACTCACCGCCCCGTGTGGTCACCGCCTGGTGTGGGGGTCCCCGAGGATCACCTGGGGGGTGAGGCCGCGCCGCCCGGGCAGCGCCGAGCGCTGGGAGCGGGGACGAGGGACGGGCGACGAGGCGCACCTGCAGCTCCTCGCAGCGTGCAAGGAGGCCACGACGGGCGGCCTTTGGGGGCAGCCGGCTGCCTCTGGGGGCCCTCCCCGGGCCCCGTCCACCAGGAAGTGTCGCTGCGCCGACCCTGCAGGCGTGCTGCAGCGGATCTGTGCGTGGATTTCTGTCGATGCAAAACCCCGATGCCTCACGCGAAAAACGGAGTGAATTTCGCGTGGATGTTTTGTGGCCTCCGCTCCTGACCAAGCAAATCCGCACGAAAGTCGTTTCGAAATCCGAAACGAACTTCTCCAGGACCATCCAGGCCCATCCCATGGTTTTCCGAACGAAATCAGCTCTGCGATTTTGGCGCCATGAGATATGCTGTGGAGGGGTGTGAGGAGGGTGAGCAAGGAGAAAACCCTGTAGGCCCGCAGCGCTAGCGGTCGCTAGCGCGTTCGAACGGCTGGCGGGCCGGGCCTCGCTGTAAGAGGAAGGGGGAGCACACACACACACACACACACACACGGTGATAATGGTGCATGTGTCTGCATGTGTGCGCGCGGGAGTGCATGTCCGATGCCGGCGTCGGTCGCACAAGCGAAGGTGGGGGACGCGAGGGCTCGGGCGCTTCCAGGAAAATCTGCGCGTGCCCCCAAAAAACGGAGATCGTAGCGATCCCAAGATGCGCGATGCTGACCGACACTTCGGCCAGTGCCCGTATACCTGTATGTGAACGCACGACCTTACGCCCAGTTCCTCACCAAGGTTCACCTCCTCTTCCTTCCTCGTCACTCTTTCACCTACTCTCCCTGCTCGCTCCTCGCTCCTCCTTGCTCCTCTCCCCGAGTTGCTCTCATTGTTTCGCCTTGCTCTGGCGCGCGTGCAGGCCAGGCTCTGGCGCGGGATCGCACGTGACTGGGAGGCTCGCAATGCCCGACCCTACTGGTGGGCGTCGGCGGGCCGCAGCTGCGAGAGGGCCGCGTGGCATCAGGCGGCCATCGACGAGTGGGCCACCAAGCGAGGTGAGATGTCCCAGGACACCGAGGCCCGGGTCGCCGTGGCCGTCCTCCTGGACTTGTTCAAGGCCTTCGAGGAGGTGAGGCGCCACTGGCTGATTGACGCGGCCAGGGCCACTGGCTTCCCGCTGTGGCAACTCAAGTTGCAGGTGGAGCTGTACCGTGCGCCGCGTGTGCTCACACTGGCTGCAGCGGAGAGTAGAGGCCATGCAGTCGGTGCTCCCAGGCGACGGCTTCATGACGACCATGCTGAAGCTGATCCTGATTGGGCCGCTGGACCGCCTCGTTCAGCAGCACCCGACCATCTCGCTGGCGGCGGTGGTGGTGGACGACTTGATGTTCCACCGCGTCGGCGGCCTCGTGCGCATCACTCGTGAAGTGGCCGACGCGGCGTTCCAGCTCAAGATGCTGCTGCAGGAGGTCGACCTGAACGTGGCCGTGAAGAAGTCGCGTGCGCTAGCGAACCTTCCGCAGGCCCGGCACGACCTGCAGCGCCTGCTGAAGCGGCTTCTCGGAGTGCAGTCGGTGCAGGGCGAGCGCAACCTTGGCGCGGAATACGCGTATGGCAGACACATTACGCGCAAGGTGAGGAAGGACAGGCCGGACAAGCTGGTGCAGGCAGACCTTCGGCTGCGGCGAGTGGCCTTCCTGAAGACCGGCGCTGGGCGCAAGCCTGCTGTTCGCAAGGTGGCGCGATCTGGCCTTGAGGCAAGCGTCTCCTACGACTTCGCCGTCACGGGCTGCGCGGCCATGGATGATGGGCCTGTTTTCCACCACCACCACCATCCACCACCACCACCATAAGTTGGAGGGGGGAAGGAGGAGGAGGAGGAGGAGGAGGTGGAGGAGGAGGAGGAGGGCGAGGAGGAGAAGGAAGAAGAGGAGGACCCCCTCCCCCTCCTACTTATGGTGGTGGTGGTGGTGGAGAACAAGCCTACCAATGGAGCTGGACAAGCTCAGAACGGTCGTGTTCACAGCTGGCGCGCCTTCTGTGTCTTGGAGCTCCAGGACGCTCACGCTCATGTTCAATGCCGCTCCTCGACGCGATGCACCGCGCCACGGTCCTGCCCGTCATGGCCATGCTTAGGGCCGCGTGGGAGCAGTGGATTCCCCAGCACATCATCGAGTGCGGTCTCGAGCAGTGCGTGGCCACCAGCTGGTGCCAAGTGCGGGGGCACTCCTCGGCCGCGCGAAATGTCGCTGGAGCGGGTAGGATGGTCCATCGTAGACGGCAAGCCCTGGGTCACCCATGATGGGGTCAGCATGAGCGTCTTCGAGGTGTTGCCCTGGATCCTGAAGAAGCTGCTGCGGCGTGCGGTCCAGGCGTAGCAGTGGATGCAGGTAGGCAAGAGCCCTGGACTGGAGCATTTGACGGCTGGCGGAGTGCTGGAGCCTCTGGCGCGCCTGACTACCACTGGCACGGTCAGTCCTCATGGGGCTGTCGGGCGGCGAATTCAGGCAGCATCGTCGCCACGTGGATCCGCCAGTGCTACGGCTCGCCTCGCGCCGAAGGTCGTCGTGGATGGCCAGTGGCCCCGGAGCCGCAAGCTCGACTGCTGCATGGCGCTCAGTGCAGATTGCTTGCCGTGCGGCGAGGTGGGCGCCCTGCTGCACCGCCACTGTGGCTGCCCTGGGTGGCCTGCCGGGCTGCAGCTGCCTGCCCCGGTGAAGAAGCTGCTGGCGCGTGTGGGCCTGCCTGAGGTTTAGGTCCTGCTGGAGCGGGCGCTGTGGCCCGCGCCACAAGGCCTTCAGCTACCTGGTCGAGTACCTGACGCGTGCTGGCTCGATCCGAATGAGGGCTACCTGCCGTCAGGCGAGATCTTCCTGGACGGCTCGGCGTTCGAGGGCGACTTCAGCAAGTACACCAGCGTGGGCTGGGCGGCCATCGCCTGGCGTCCCAGGGCGGACGTCTTCGCCACTGTGGTCTCAGGCGAGCTGTGCGAGCCCCTGGTCGACATCAACGGAGGTGAGCTCTCGGCGCTCCTCACGGTGCTGAGTTTTGCGCTGCCTCCTGTCACGGCGTCCGTGGACAGCAATTTCGTGTTCCTCGGCCTCAAGGCGCTGGGCGAGGAGCGCACCACCACCCACGGATACGCGTGGGTGCACCTGTGGCGTGAGGTCTGGCGGTTGCTGCGCGAGTTCGGAGGCCTTGACGCTGTCGGCCTCTCCGTGCGGAAGGAGGCTACGCACCTTGCGCGGAGGCAGATCCTGGAGGGCCGCATCACGTACGGCGACTGGTACAGCAACAAGCCGGCGGACCAGGCGGCGAAGAGCCGCCCATGGTCGGCTGGCGCTGCGGGATCTGCAGCGCCTCGTGTGCGCCGGAAGACCGCGGAGGGCGTGGCGATGCGGACCTCGGCGGTGGGCGCGGCGCTGGGCGGCTCCGACACCACGCATCGGGTCGCCAGCGGCTCTCGCCTGCCGCCGTGGAGCTGGCCGCGGCCAGGCACCCGCTGGAGGGCAGCCGACGTGGCGTGCGGCTGGCGGCGGCGCTGGCACGGCGACTGCCCCCGTGGTGGCGACGGCCTCAACCACGCGGGGTCCTCCAGCGGCGGCGGCGGCTCTGGTCGCTGGAGGGGCTGCGGAGGCCTGGCGAGCTGGCAGGGGCGCTGGCCGCGCTGGGCCTTGAGGCCCGACGGCCTGGCACGGTCGCGGGGGCGGCCGTACGCTCGGGGCGGGCCGCGGTTCGACCGCGCCTCGCTCTATGGCGCGCTCCTCCTCCTGCTCCTCCTCCTCCTCCTCCTCCTCCTCCTCCTCCTGCCCCCTCCCTCTCCCTCCTCATCTTTCTCCTATCGCAGCACGTCCAAGGGTTGAAGATCGAATAACATCTACGGACATCATGCGCGTAATGTCGAAACAGGTGTGTGCGAGGGAAGGAGGAGCAACTGTGAAACGCTAGCAGGTTAGCTCAGCCGCTTTCGTCTGGCAGCTGACCTTCAGAAGATGCACATCACGTATGCCCAACATGTTTCACGCAGGCGAGGCGCAGCCTGCTCGTGCCATCCTGAGCATGAGCTCTTGATGTGGATGCAAGTGTCGAGCGTCCTCCTCCCCTCTCGTGATCCTCCATCCTGACAATCCCACCATCCTGATCGCACCCATTTTCATGTGCATGTCCCCGCCATTCGCCCCCGAACTATTCACACAGGCTGCGCCTCGCGTGTGTGAACAAGTTCTACTCGTGAGCTGAGTGCCATTTGTAATGTTGAAGCACGCTGTAAAAACACGTGGAGAACGAACTTGAATGTTTGAGCTTCACCTCTTCTCTCCCGGACCTGCCCTGGAACATGTTTCTGTGCTGGAGACGGGGGTACGTACCGCATGTACCCGCAAACGTGCCGTAGGCACCGAGTGGAGTGTCATGAGCCAGGCCCCCTGAAGTCCCTAGGATCGAATGTTGCAATGTTCTGTCGATGCCCCACGCACTCTGGCACCAAGTGGCTCCAGTCAGACTGCCCCAAATTCAAAGGGCGCCCTCCCGAGACGCACGACTCGTCTGCGACCGCCACGCGAACCCTGCCGTGCCGAGCCAAACTCCGCCCGCCAACTCCCTGGCGCGACCAGCGACCTCGGGACGCCTGGCGCCGTGCACCTGTGGCGGGGCCGCCATGAAGCAGCACAGAGCCCCCCCGCCCCTCGGTACCCAGGTCACCCGACTTCGCCCACAGCGCCCCGCGATGCGCGGCCACCTTCGCGTCGCTGGCCGCGCTGCCCGCTCGGAGCAGGGCAGCCGCTCTGGCCATGACCGCGACGTGCGAAGCGCGCTGATCCTCGCGCCCCCGCGGGTGACCCGAGGCCCCCGCCCACAGCCCTTCCTCCTCCTCCTCCAACTCCAACCCCAACTCCTCCTTCGCCTCCTCCTCCTCCTCCTGCTCCTCCCCTCTCCGCATCCTCCTAGTCCTCCTTCTGTCTACTCGTCCTGCTCCTGCCGTCCTCGCATCGGCGGAGGCTCAGGGGGAGAAATGTCGAACTGGCATCGGCGACACATCGCTGACAGGTCGGCGACAAGCCCCCGATAGCAAATCCGCGGGGGTCAATGCATCGCCCCTGAGCCCATCCCCTCCCAACGTTGCCCCCTGGCTGACTTTCGGGTCCCAGCTCTGGTCTCCAGCAACCGCTCGGGATGATCCCATCCGCGCACCCCTGGAACGCTCTTCGCGAGGTGAAGCTGCGGAAACGTGTACCGATGCCGGAAAAAAAAAACGCCGAGAGCCAACGAACACGCCAGAGAGCCTCGAACCTCGAACGCTGCCGCCCCACCGAGCCTGCCTCCCCCCAACGGCTCCCCTGACGCCCACAGCCCCTCCCAGCGGCCCGCTCCTGGCCCGTCTCCGTGAAGAACATGTGGCCGCGCACGTGGTAGGCCACGTTGTGCATCACCGTGGCGTAGTCGGTGCTGTGGACCACCACGGCCCGCTGGCGGCGCGCCCCGGCTCGGAGCGGCCGCGGCGCGACGCCACGCAGCGGCACGCAGCGGCACCGAGCCGCGGAGCCCGATCTGGATGGGGTCCCGACGCGGCGCTCCGCGCAGCAACGGGCCGTGCCCGAGCGGCACACGCACGAGGCGAGAGAGACGCACGAGGCGATAGAGAGAGAGAGAGAGAAACACACAAGAGAGAGAGAGAGAGGGAGAGACACACGCACACGCACACGCACACGCACACACGCACACGCACACGCACACGCACACGCACACGCACACGCACGCACGCACATGCACATGCACGCCCCCCTACACACACACACACGCACGCACGCACGCACGCACGCACGCACGCACGCACGCGCACACACAGACACACACACATACACACACACACGCGCACACACACACACACGCACGCACGCACGCACGCACACACACAGACACACACATACACACACACGCGCACACATACACGCACACGCACGCACGCACGCACGCGCGCACGCACGCACGCACGCACGCACGCACGCACGCACGCACGCACACAGACGCAATCATATACACACATAAACACATACACACGCACACGCACACACACACACACACACACACACACACACACACACACACACACACGCACACACACACATAAACACATACACACACACACACACGCACGCACGCACGCACGCACGCACACATGCACGCACGCACGCACGCACGCACGCACGCACGCACCAAACACCAAACAGAAGAAACATCAGACGGGAGCGGAGTGGAGACGAAGCAGCAGAGCAGCGGAGGGAAGGCGTGACGGAGGCGAGGCGGAGGCGGGGCGGGGTCGGAGGCGGGGGCGGGGGCGGAGCGGAGGAGGAGCGGAGGCGGAGCGGAGGCGGAAGAGGGCGGAGAGGAGGTAGAGGCGGAGGCGGAGGAAGCAGACAGCGACCGCACTCGAAAGGAGCCTGGGCGGCGGCGGAGGCGGAGGCGGAGGCGGAGGGGAGGCAGAAGGAAGGCGGAGCCGGAGCAAGAGTCCGTGGTTTAAAGACGGGGTCCCGAGGTGTGGGGTCAGCAGGGATAGGTGCCTCGAAAAGTGTCAATCCGCCCTTGGATCCCTTCCTACCCTTACGACCCCACCCCTCAGGACCCCATCTCTGAACCACCGAGAAGGGCGGGGCGGAGCGGGAGAGGGCGGCGCGGGAGCAGAAGCGGGGGGGGGCGGAGGCGGCGAAGGGTCGGGGCGGAGGCAGCGGCGGGGCGGCGGAAGACTCAACGACCGGCGGGCGCCCGAGCCGCGATGGCGGCGCTGCCAGAACACACCCGGTGACGGCGCGGGCCCGTGCGAGCCAGGGGAAGGAGCCGTGACCCTCTCGCGCAGGGCGGACTCCCCCGCTCGCTTCCTGCCAGCACCTCCCCAGCAGCATCACGGTCGCATTCCATCGTTCCGACTCCGACTGCAGCTGCGGCGGCGAGGCCCGGGCGTCGACAGAGGCGGGGCATCACTGGCGAGCGCATGTAGAGTTATGCTGTACCCATCGCACTTCGGGACCACATCCCAGAAATAATTTCGAGCACCCAGAGAAGTGTCGTAACAGAGTCTGCCCGACGCGCCAGCGAAGCGAGAATGCGTACTACCGCCTCCAGGGGCCCGACGCTTGAATCCCTGCAGCTTGGGCACTCCACTGGTGCTCGAAAAATTCTTTCTGGCTTTCCAAGCTATAAAATAGGTCGGAGCATATTTTGAGTATCGTTTCACCGATCCCCATCCCCAGCGGCGTGGCCTGGGCCCCACTGGCCGACTTGCCCCCCTGGATGGGGATATAGGTCGTTCCCTTCGGGTTTCGAGGGGTGTATCCCCAACTGGGGGGTAAGTTGGTGGGGGCCTCGAAGGGTATGGGGATGCGGATGGGGATCGGTCAAACGATACCGACATGTAGGTCGGAGCATCACAATTGTTAGAGCGTAGAGCAGGCCGGGGACTGCCAGCCTGGAAGGTGTCGTGGTACGAGTTGTTCCGCAGGTACGCGATGTCCATCACGTCGACGTTGCGGCCGGACGAGAGCACGTGCCAGTGCGAGGAGTACCTCTCGCGAGGGCCCGCGGGCTCCGATCGCTACCATGGCGCGCGAGCATGTCTGGGACGGGTCCAGGGCCCTGGCCGTGCTTTCTCGCGGCGTTGCCCCTCCCCCTCCTCCTCCTCCTCCTCCTCCTCTCCTCCTCCTCCTCCTCTTCCTCCTCCTCCTCCTCCTCCTCCTCCTCTTCCTCCTCCTCCTCCTCCTCCTCCTCCTCCTCCTCCTCCGCGGCGTTGCCCCTCCTTCTCCTCCTCCTCCTCCTCCTCCTCCTCCTGCGCGGTATGGACGCAAGGGCCTTGGAAGGCCATGCCGAAGCTTCTCGAGCGGGGCGCGGCCAACGACAGTGGCCAAGGATGGACCGAGGAGGCAAGGACGCACGGGTGCCCTTGGGAAGGTTGCTCATCCTTACCATGCGGGTCGATTGTACCTCAAGGAGTTCTGCCATAAAGACGTCTAGGGGCACACTGTTCGGCCTACCTCAGACCCCGCAGGGCGCCTCGAGCACTCCAACGGGTGTGTTTGGGGCCTGGAGGAAGAAGATATGTCCGTGGGGCACGTGCTGGCAGACCGATGCATTTTTACCTAACAGCGAAGACCGATAGGTTTCTAGTGGTGTCGAGAGAGAGCATCATGACTCCTCAGGGGGGTCTGGGCGGGATCCGGACGGGATCCGAGGGAGGACACTCCTGTTTAAGCTAACAGTAACGCACTTCGGGGTCTTCGAGTTCCCAGAACTCCATTCCTGGGCGTGATTTTGAATGCCCGTAGCCAACTGTAGGCCACTTCGTGGTCTTCGAGTTCCCAGAACTCCATTCCTGGGTATGATTTTGAATGCCCGTAGCCAACTGTAGGCCACTTCGTGGTCTTCGAGCTCCCAGAACTCCATTCCGGGGCCACATTTTGAATGCTGAGGCAGGCTGAGGCTGAGGCTGAGGCAGGCTGGGGCTGAGGCAGGCTGAGGCTGAGGACGAGGCTGAAGGCAGACTGAGGCTGAGGCTGAAGCAGGCTGAGGCTGAGGCTGAGGCAGGCTGAGGCTGAGGCTGAGGCAGGCTGATGCTGAGGCAGGCTGAGGCTGAGGCTGAGGCTGAGGCTGAGGCAGGCTGAGGCTGAGGCTGAGGCAGGCTGGCTGCTGCAGGCTGAGGCTGCAGGCTGAGGCTGAGGCTGATGCAGCTGAGGCTGAGGCAGCCTGAGGCTGAGGCCGAGGCTGAAGGCAGACTGAGGCTGAGGCTGAAGCAGGCTGAGGCTGAGGCAGGCTGAGGCTGAGGCTGAGCAGGCTGAGGCAGGCTGAGGCTGAGGCAGGCTGAGGCTGAGGCTGAGGCTGAGGCAGGCTGAGGCTGAGGCAGGCTGAGGCTGAGGCCGAGGCTGAAGGCAGACTGAGGCTGAGGCTGAAGCAGGCTGAGGCTGAGGCTGAGGCAGGCTGAGGCTGAGGCTGAGGCAGGCTGATGCTGAGGCAGGCTGAGGCTGAGGCTGAGGCTGATGCAGGCTGAGGCTGAGGCAGGCTGAGGCTGAGGCCGAGGCTGAAGGCAGACTGAGGCTGAGGCTGAAGCAGGCTGAGGCTGAGGCTGAGGCTGAGGCAGGCTGAGGCTGAGGCTGAGGCAGGCTGATGCTGAGGCTGAGGCTGAGGCTGAGGCTGAGGCTGAGGCTGAGGCAGGCATGAGGCTGAGGCTGAGGCCTGAGGCTGAGGCCGAGGCTGAAGGCAGACTGAGGCTGAGGCTGAAGCAGGCTGAGGCTGAGGCTGCAGGCTGAGGCTGAGGCTGAGGCTGAGGCAGGCTGATGCTGAGGCAGGCTGAGGCTGAGGCTGAGGCTGATGCAGGCTGAGGCTGAGGCAGGCTGAGGCTGAGGCGAGGCTGAGGCAGACTGAGGCTGAGGCTGCAGGCTGAGGCTGAGGCTGAGGCAGGCTGAGGCTGAGGCTGAGGCAGGCTGCCGTTGACTGCACTGCCGTTGCCACTGCGACTGTCATCGCGAATGCGACTACGACTGCGAGAACAGCAGAATTCTACAACTGGATTCTCATCTGAATCTTAAGGGGAATGCTTCCAAATATGCTCCTACACATCGCTGTTAGGTTGCTTTGCCGGGATAATTTATGCACTTACTGCAGCCATCTCGAGGCTACGTCCTCCTTGGCCGACAACACCAGGAAAGGACGTAACCCTGACGGTGATTCGCTGTGGCTGACGAACGACACTTCTGGACGCCTCTGAAGCGAGCCGTGCTGGCGACTGCCAGTTGTGCTACGCCGAAGCTTCCCCAGATCTCGCGCTGGGGCCAGGGTTTTCTGGCATGCCGAAGCCATCTGTCATCTGTGGGGCTCCTGAGGCTCAGGCCAACGCTGACCCGGCCCAGATCATGTACCTCACACCACCAAGGGCAATCACGGGCATGCCAGGATCAATCAGCATCGAATTGGTAAATCAAATCGCAATGCGCATCAAATCGGGCTGCATCGGCACGGAATCGAAATCGAATCAGACCGGCTGCGCCAGGATGCACAACAGCGCCATGCAAGGATTGGGCCGCACCGGCGTCGGAATGTTGGAACCGAATCGGATCGGGCCGCCCGGAATCGACATCGAACCAGATCGATCGGATCGAAACGGACCATGTATGCGCTAAGAAGAAGCTACACGGCACGGAGAGGAGCCGGCCAGCCAGCCGCGGCGGCGATTGAGAAGCGCCACCCGCTTTCTCGCAAGAGCCTGCGCAGCCGCTGGGCCGGCCTCCCCAGGCATCAGCAGGGGGCACTTTGTCCATAATTCTGCTAGCAGTCCGCCGACTTGGAGGATCGGCAGGGGGCACGGACGATGGGCCGATTTCCTGGGAAGCACAAGGGTTCCCGTCTGAGCCCGTTCGGCGTCGGAGCCCGTAGGACCGCCGAGCGGACTCCAGGATCGAGCCCATGCGCGACCGAACGGACTCACCCCCCACAAAACTGTCGGAATTGGGCCCGTTCGGCTGCACATCAGTCGGCCGAGCGGGCTCTGAAGAGAACCCTGGGGAGCTGCCGATGAAACGCTGGGCCGGGGCGAAGAGGAAAGGATTCTCACGGCAGGTTCGTGTCGTGGAAACCTCTGGCGCTGATTTCTGACACCGACCCTGGCGTATTCATTCGTTGTTCGATTTCTGTTCATCATGCACCTGCGAATTCGCAGCATTTTCGTGTCAACGCGCCGTCTTGGTGCGGCTTCGTGTGTGGGGGGCTGCTCAACATTGACCGTTCGGCGGCTGCTCGATCGCCGGATCGTACCATGTTCGCAGATGCTGGGCAAATGGCGGCGCTCAACCTGGAACGCCCGCGCTGGAGCCGCAGCCTGGCCGCGTCGGCACGGCACGAACTTACCACAGCGACCCGCGGAGCTGTGCACACGCGTCGAGGGCACCTCCCAAGGTTCGCCGCCTGCCCGGTGCGGAACAGCTCGGTGTTCTCGATGCGCAGCTGCCCGCCCATGAACGCGCCGACGTGGGCACCTAAGGGGGGGGGCAGGGCCACGCAGGGCACGGAGGGGGACCAGGGCAGTGGCACCGCTCGAAGGACAAGCGAACAGCAGAGGCAAAATGTTGATACTCTGGGTGGGATATTGATCGAGGGGTGGGCGACTAACCCTCGGACGGAGCTTGCCCATCCCCCCCCCCCACCTCCTCCACCTCCTCCTCCTCCTCCTCCCCTCCTACTCCTCCTCTGCCTCCTTTTCCTCCTCCTCCCCCTCCTCCTTCTCCTCGTCTTACTCCAACCCCCCCTCCACGTGTTCCGACAGCACGTGCCCAACCCCCCCAGCGGATCCAAGGGGGGGCGATTATTGCCCCATCCAGACTAGGGGTCCGCGCGGGGTTCTTGGGTCTGCGCTGGACCTGCCTCGGCGGCGCCCCCGGTCGCGCGGCGCCGACCCGAGACATCTGCGCGGACCTCCGAAAGTGTGTGTGTGTGTGTGTGTGCATGCTGCTTTTTACCAAGCCATCCTTTGGTGTTGGGCCCTCGTTTTGGATCCGCAGCGCCGTGCGTCCTTCCACGCCTTGCCCTCCTCCTCCACCCTCCCTCCTCCCCCACATCCTTTCCCCCAACCGTCCTGTGTTGAGTTGGGCCCTCGTTCTGAATCCGCAGCGCCCCGCGTCTCCCACCCTCTCTTCCGCTTTCCTCTCCCATCCCTGCCTCTGCCCATCGCATGCCCATGTCGGAGTCAGCATCTCCCTCACACGCTTCGTGACCCTCTAGGGAGCTCCACCAAAGGCCCCAGTGGCAAAGGTCGCATGGCGGTCCTGCCGCATGTCGACACACCCCTCACACGATGCGTGGCCCCATCGGGAGCTCCACCGAAGGCCGCAGTGACAACGGTCGCATTCCAGCCCTGCCCTATTTCGGCGCATCCTTCACGCGCTTCGTGCCCCCCACAGGGAGCTCCACCAAAGGCCGCCCCAGTAGCACCTCCGAAGGCCCAACGGCCTGCATCTTCCTCTGCACTCCCCTACCAGCACAACCAAAACGACCACCGTCCCCACCATCCCTGCCATCTGGCTCAAGCTGCTTTTGCCCAGGCCAGTCTGAAGAGCCGGCGAGACCGGCGAAAGCTCACACGTACCACTGGCCAGAAAGCTTTATCACATCACACAGATCACAGGTTTGAGATCGTCAACTGTTGCATGGTGCCCTTCGCGTGTCCAACTCGGCACGCCCCTCGCGCGCGTCGTGGAACCTTCGGGAGCTCCACCGAAGGCCCCCGTCGCAGCGGTGGCACGGCAGCCCCGCCCCCCTGCCCGGACCCCCCCCCCCCGGCCGCTTCCACGCGGCGCCACCTTCGCGCGGCACTCCGTGTGGCCTGCTGCGCGCCCAGAGGCCAGGATATCTTCCCGGGGCCCACACGTCTTCCGAGAGCAAGAACACTCTCTTCTGAGAGCACCAGTCCGCTGCCGAAACGCGACAGCCCCGTCCAGCCATGCTCCAAGAGCACCTCGTGCAGACCACGAGAGGCTCTCGGAACATGATCTGAGGGCCCTTATAGGCGAGCCACGGCGCTTCGCCTCTCGCCCATGCCCGCCCCGCCCCGCCCCCGCCCCCCCCCCCTGCTGCCGCCCCCACAGGCCCAGACTGCGACGCGCGGAGCGCGGCTATCTTCGGGCGCTCTCGGCGGGGTGCGCCGGAGGACGGGGGGCCCGGACAGAGGGGGGGGGCTGCCTCAGGGCCCGAGGCACGTGTGCGGGCGAGCGGAGGCCAGGGGACATGCTGCAAGAGGAGGCCGGGGCCCCGATGCCTGGGAGATGTCATGGCCTTAGCCATGATACATATCCACACACACGGTTCTCGCCCCCCTCTCGGTCGCCCCCCCCCCGGCCCCCAGGTGCCAAGCTTCAAGAGACACTTACGCCGACCGTGTTTGCACGCTCCACTTCTGCGCCCTCCGCTGCCCCCTGTCTGTACCGCGCTCAGGATTCCGACCTCTCTGTGGCGCGCTGCCCGCGAGTCGAAGGGCCTGGATGTCCTCCGCTACTCGCAGTCGCTCTTCCCCCTCCGTCGCCTCAACTGCCTTGTGGCACTCGACGCTGTATATAGTGGAGGCCAGTCCACAAGAAACCGTCCACAAGAAATCCAGCCCTGAGACCCCAGGACGTCCATTGATTCCTGGCGTGGGAACGTCACGCCTTCCACAGCAAAACCATCGAAACCCAGGAAACCCAGGGCACCCTGGAGGCAAGCAGGGTGTTTCTTCTTGGTATGGGTTTCCACTGTATGGGTGGGCCCTTCGCCAGGCTAAATGATCCCCGAGCCTCGGCAGGCTGCGCTGTTTACATGATGCCCCGCGGCTACAGACAGCCAGTTTCCGCGCATCGTGCCATAACTACACTGTCTACCCGATGACGTCCGTATTGTCCGTATTCTCTTCCTCCTCCTCCTCCACCTTCCTCCTCCTCCTCCTCCTCCTCCTCCTCCTCCTCGTCACGCCTGTCGCCCGTGGCTTGACCTCGGAGCGCGGCGTCCGTCAGCCAGCGTCGTATCGTATCCTCCTCCTCCTCGCCCTCCTCCTCGTCTTCCTCCCCCTCCTCGTCCTCCTTCTCCTCTTCCTCCACCTCCTTCTTCTCCTCCTCCTCCACCTCGCTCCTCCTCCTCCTCCACCTCGTTCTCCTCCTCTTCCTCCTCCTCCTCCTTCTCCTCCTCCTCCTCCTCTTCCTTCTCCCTCCTCCATTCCTTTTTCTTGCAAATAACGTCTCCCTGTCGCACCCCGAGGCCATTTTTTACGGCGGGCCGGGCGTTTCGTCTGAGACTTCCTCACCACTGATGACTCTGAAGCGTGCACCTTAGCAACAGCTTCCCAGATGGAGGGCGGATGGTTTTCAAAATGTGGCTCTCGCCTTGGCGCCGCGCGCATACATTTTAAATATTTGCAAAATCTTCACGGATTGAGAATCACCCGTCTTCAAAATGCGGTTCTCGCTTGAGCGCCGCGCACATTCGTTCCAAACAATTGCAAGAATTGGGCGAATTGAGGGCGGCTCCTTTCCAAAATGTGGCCCTCGCCTTCGCGCCACGCACACTCGTTCATAGAATTTGCAGGAGTTTCACGGATCCCCACGATCAGCGTACCAGAAATTGTGTGTTGGAGGGATTCAGGATTTCGCGGGTGCAACCGTTACGTTGATTCGCGGTGTTGAAATCCCAAGAATGGCCTTCTGGCATGACCCAGGATCGCCACGACGCAACAGTCAGGTTGATCCGTGGCGTTGGACTCCTGAGAACAATGTTTTGGTATGCTTCAGAGTCTTCAAGCGGTAGTCTTCTAACGAGGCAGATCCCTCAATGGAAATGAACCGTTGTATGGGGCCTATGAAGAGAGAGCTTGGAGGGAGGGTTTATTCCAACATCGTTGATGGCTCGTGGGTTTACACTGGTCCTCCTCCTCCTCCTCCTCCTCCTGCTCCTCCACCTCCTCCTCCCCCTCCTCCTCCTCCTCCTCCTCCCCCTCCTCCTCCTCCCTCCTCCTCGTCTCACTTCTCCTCCTCCTCCTTCTCCTCCTCCTCCTCCTCCTTCTCCTCCGTGTTTGCTTTGCGCTGTCGCGGCGCCAGCGTGTGGCGACCCTCATCATGGTCCTCCGGCTGCTGCTGCTGCTGCTCCTCATCCTGCTCCTCCTGCTCATTCTCTTAATCGTCCTCCTCCCCTCCTATCCCCTCGCTTCCGCCGCTTCACCCAGCCGCACTTCCCGCTGGGAAACCTGGGCGCACGCAATTTGGTTGAAATGTGGTCAAGGAAGAATGACCAAGGAGCCATTCCCAGGTCAAATTTCCAGCTACCGCATTGCATGTACGTCCGATTCGAAGCCGTCGTCCGAACCCCAGTTGCCGGCCAGGGGGGATCCAGCGCTCTCGAACCCATGCTTTGTATGGATCTCGCGCCCCGCGGGTTGTCTTCGTATTTTGCAGCGTTCCCCCACCGGATGATTGATGATTTGTTAATCCTGGGCCCCGACACGGGCCTCCTGGGGTGCACACTCCGGAAAACCCAGTCGTCTCGATTGTTTCGGGACGACGGAGGTCAGGGGTAGGAGGATATTGGAAAAGGGATGGAGGACGAGGCGGCTAGCGGGAATCCCACCAGCCCTCTGGGCGTCACTCGGTGGTATAGAGCGTTTGTGATTCCAGGCCTGCATTCTTCCCTTGCGGAGAAGGGCTCATGGTTCATCAATGTCCCCTATGAATAAACACCCTCTGCCCCATGCGACCAGCAGCCAGCCAGGACGAATGACGGGCCCCTCCACCATCCTTGCAAAAGGCCCATGTGAAGTCCACTTTGGATCAGCATCTTGGGTCATGATCGGGGAGGCCGCGAGGATGGCGGGAGTGGCCGCATATTGCGTGGCGCGCGCAGGGCCAGCATCCCCATCACAACAACATTACAACATGCACTTCGACAAGAAATCTGGATCATGCGCGGGCACCCCGCGATCACTGTGCAATGGTTTTTGACTGGGACGGCGGGGGTTGCTGGATGGCCACCCCGCCACGATTGCACACTGGTTGTCAACCTCCTACGGACGCAGGCGCACCTGGCAGAATCTGCGCGTGCCCTGAACCTGGCGCACCTGGCGCGACTGGAGCATGCGGCACGCATGGCGCACGTGGATCACGTGGCGCACCAGGCGTGCCCGGCACGCTTGGGCCACAGGGGTGCCTGGCGTACCTCGCCCCAGCGTTGCGCACATGGGGTCCGTTTGGGCTCCCAATAGCTGCCCATCCACAGACAACCGCCGATCACGCTGCGGCGTGGGTACTATTTGTGCGCTGGGAGAGCGGGTGGGAATGAGCGAGACGGCCTGCGGGCGGAGAGAGTGTCTCGACCCCTCTGCCCCTCCACTGGGTCTGGACGGGGGGGTGCGGGGCGAGGCGCTAGAGAAGCCCAAATAATCCAATATGGCTCCAACATGGCCACAGATCGCCCATGATGGCTTCCAAGATGACACCATATAGGTCAAGATGACATTCCAAAA